GTAGCCGGTCTCATCGCTAGAAAGATTAGAGACGACTGTTTCTGGCGGATGTGAAGTAATCGCCAAAGAGCACCCGGTAGAGCGATAGCCTATCGTAAAGTGGCCGATAGTAGTACATTCTGGTCTTACATAGCAAACTCGAGTTGTTTTCGACCGAATAATTTTCAAATGACGCCATTTGCAATCTAAATCACGATGCATAATTCTTACCAAGTATGTTATTCGCATGTTCGCGATGCTTAAGTTACTTTATAAATTAGCAATTTTGCTGGAAAGTAGTGAAGACAAATTAGTGTTAAAATTTTATTCATTTACTATCAGCCAATGCCTTCAAAGAAAAAAATGTTGTTAATAATTAGAAATGATTGTCATTGTCGTGATGGTAACAAAGAAATTTAGCATGTTACGTATGCGGTTATCGCATTGTTTTATTAACATTCACTGGCTCTATTTAATATCTCGCTGATAAAATTGTAATTCACGTTAACAGGAAGTGATATAAAAAACGATGTACTTATCTATGCATATATTATATAATTGCAACATTTCCACCAATTTAAATACATCAATATTAGCCCTGTTCCTGATAAATGTTAGCACATTTATTGCCGCCCGACTGTAAAAAAATACTACATAGTGGAGAAAGAATGAAAAGTGGAGTTCCACCCGCATGTCGCGACACTTGTCGAGCGTTGGTAAGGCGTACGAGCGTGGCTTCGCGTCGCGATAAAAGACAAGCTCGATACCGAAAGCGAGTGGTGTACGAACGTATCGCGATGTAGCGACAGACATTGTTCCATGGTGAGAAAAGCCTACGCGGTTCTGCTTTACGAGCGACTGATAGCTGTACGTATGTCCACGTGGGCACTCTCTTGTTCCGGAAAAATTTACCAGACATCTTGAGTTTTTAAGGGTCGGTTGTTCCAACTTTCCTCTTGGTAAGTTAACCGATGGTTCAATCATATGCGTGTCTTTGTTTTTTCCTTCAAATTAGACAAAGATAGACATCTAATTAAACTATTAGTTAACTTACCAAGAGGTTGGAAAACCGGCCCTAAGTATTTTTTCCGTTTCATTTAAACAAAGAAAATAGATTTAACAAATGTTACGTACTATGGGGAGGGGGATGGTCATTTGAGTTATTAAATACTTATCCTCATAGTCACAATAAGAAATTTTTTTCTTCTCTCCCCCTTGGAAACTATAATTTTAGAAATCAGCGGATATCGACTAGCTAACGCACGAGTCCCTTCCCCACAAAAAATTGTTTGTCAAAGTTTCACTTTTCGAAACACGAAACGTAAAGTTCTTAGATTGTTGCTGGTCGATAGCCGTTGAAATATAAAAAAAGGGGAGAGAAGAAAAAATATATTTCTTATGGCTTTCCGAAAGAGAGAAATCGTGGAGTCCACAGGACGTAACACTATCATTATTCCATTGGAATATAGCGCGCCATAGAGCAAACAGGGCGATGTTAAGAAGTCAATGATAACTTCATGAATACGTATCGCGGTGCATCGAAATATGCCGGCACCGCCATTCTTCCAGTAGGAGTTTTATCTAAACAGCTATTTCCCGCACCGCGATACGGCCTATACGTGTGTTAACCAGTTACAATAGCTGACTAATTATCTATCTCAAAATGTGCGTAATTTTTATGGAGCTCACTAGCTCGTCGACTGAATGAAAGGTTTTATCTAGAATGTATCTAGAATTTGCACATTATCGTTAATCGCGTAACTTAAATTGTTAAAGAATGTTTGATAATCTCCTATTTTCTGACGCCATGTGACTTTTGACCGTGAAATTAATTTCAGAATTAAAATAGATTAAAAGCTACAGAAATGTTAATTATATCGAAATTCTAAAAGTTGTGTATCTTGAAAGAGATTATTTATCTAAAAGACGTATGTATATGTATACAATTGTAAAAGAAGAAGACAAAATCTTTTGGATTTACAATTAGTTAAACTATGATGCCGCAACTTAGACGAAAATCTATAGTTCGAAAAAAGATTTCACAGAGGTTTGGCAATTGGCATAAAAAAATAATTACCGTGTGAAATAAAGAAGCTTTTAGTAGGATGTTGAAGGTTAATAGATGGATAAAAAAAAGAAGTTAAAAAGTGTAGGTAACGGGACGCCAGACAGCGCGATGGCGGTCCTGGAGAATATCTCGTGCAACAGATGCTGGATCATTGATGCCTGGCATAGCATCTTGATAGATAAATCGATATTTATATTCCGCTAGAATTCCACCAGTTGCGTAGAGCTATTTAAATGTGAGATTGATCAAATATATTTACTTAGAAATTTATACGCACAATTATATTATTATGCTTCCATTAATTTAATGCTAATGAATATTCAAAGTTAATCATACAGTCGAAAACTAACTTATACACTATGATATAAGAGTTGTAGTTGAATTGTGTAATATTTGTCCAAAATTGTATAAAGTAAAATGATGAATATTTGTAATATTAAATCCAAAATTTTGTTTTATAATATTTGCAATACAGTCAATTTTTGTCGTAAATAATATAACAAAAATATAGGAAATATTAATTTTCTCTTAATAACATTGAATAAGATTCACGTTTTGTACCCTTTTACAATTTACATTATTTTAGTTGTATTTCTAATTCTACGCTCTATGTAACATGTTAAGAATTGAAATGCGGAAAGGTCGTGTCCAGGTAAAGCATTGTTACCAATTTCGTTTCAGATAACGAAAGGGGACTAGATAACAAACTACGACGGTTATAGCTCGTGACTATCGCTTACACCAGATGCGGCGGTAATGTCATACTGTGTAGTAAAATGTTTCATATTCTCGATTGTAATAACCGTTAACTGATAATACGGTAGAAGCGTGGAGTAATTCACGATTTATCGACAGCAATCGTGATCCTCCGAAGAATGTATCGAACCATTTCCTCGCCGAGCAAGGATTAGGAATGTTAAATTTAAATTTTTACATTCTTTTCTTCACACTCGCGAATAACTCGCAGTTTAGTGTTAAAATTGCGGTATGTTTTGATAATTATTTAACATTGCGTATTTTTTTTAAGCACTTGAACTTTCTATTTTATTTTTTTATATACGTAACATTACAAATTTAAAGCATATAGTTTTATTGATGTAAGATGTCAATTTTATTGATGCATTATGTCAATTGTGTCCTACTTGATGTTTACAATTTATGTAATAATTTTTTTATATTATTGATATCCTAATACTTCAAGCTTAACCCTTAAATGCATCATGTTGCCATTCGGCAACATACCGATATCTAGGTGAGTTGAATGTATGTACGGCATCGATGTTTGAACAAAAACAATAACTGTTTCAGAAGTTTTCATACGCAATAACTTATGTTTCATATGTTTCTAATTTCATGATGTTGCCATTCGGCAACACACCCTTTTGTTCTTGAAAAAAAAATAGTAAGATAGATTTTTTTTCTCATTTTTCCCTTATTGTACTCCTTTTGTTGTATCATATTCAGTAAAAAAATCATAAAAACAAAAAATCATGCATTTAAGGGTTAAATTCTCACTCTTAAAATAAAATAAAAAAAATTATGTATACGCTGTACGTACGACAAATGTCTATAGTATTCCGAGGGATAAACTGTCGAGGGCACTGTGGCGTACAGATTTTTCGGCATTAGTGGGCATTAGTTTGGGCATTAGGCCTTGCTGAGGCATTGTAAAGATAAAATCAGGCAAAACAAGATAAATAAGATATAGTTATGCCCACTGGGCATTAGTAGGCATTAGTGTACCTGAGTTTGGTCAACGGTTTACCCCTATGCAAGGTTCGTTAATTTTTCAAATTGCATATTTTAGTAATCAAGAGATAAATAAAAAGCACCAGCCTTTAGAACCAATTATTTGCATCTGCATATTTATATCGAATTAAATATTATCCGAACTCGGCATTTCCTTCAGGATAATTAACAGTAATGAGTGAAATTAATTGATATCGGTCGGCAGCTAACATCGAACAGCTCTTACAGTTACAAGGGCTGTCCGATGCTGCCGATACGCTCTTAATCACCGTCGTCTTTATATCACCGGAGTTTCATCATGCAAACTGCAACACTTGTCACGTATAAACCAGAATTTTCAAATGCACAATGAAAATTGCGACACTGAACAATAATTGAATCCAAAAGCCTGGAAATTGGCAATGATATTAATTATCGAGATATTGGTTCTCTATATCCATATTAAAGATTTTAAACTTGATAATAATGACAATATAAAAGTGTTATACAGGAAAAAACGAAGAACGTTCAAATGCCCAGAATCTTCTCGTTTTCAATTTATATCAATTTCGCAGTTAGTATAAATTATAGTTCAATAGTGATCTGAATATTGTGCTTTATGAAAATTTATAAACGCGTAAATGAAGATTGTGTGTTTCCGTACATGAGCTATCGCTATCGTTATCACTACTAATTAATGTTAATATGCGGAAACGAATGATAAGAGACCGCATATCATATAATAAATATATTATGATCGCGATGCAATGTGCATCCTGATAAGCATAACGTTCGCGCGACGGTCATCCTTATCGGGCTACTCTTTCAAATACAGTCACGATAGAGTCGAGCGCGATTCGTTCAAATCACAGTTTTCGTTTTGAATTGTGCTAATTATTTTCGCTCGAATGTGTAATTAATACCAAATTTATTTTTTTGCGATGCCCAGCTCGAAAACAAAATGTGAAATTTCTAAAAATATGACCGTAAATTTCATTAAAGCGCGAAATTAGTTTTGCACTGTAGCAAATTGACCCACGATACGTATATTCTTGTGTTCAAATATTATAGTTGCAACAAATAACGCCTTTTCGATAATATAATAAATGTTTTACCTTGATTTCAATACATTAGCGGAACGAATATTCTCAACAAAAAAAAATATTAAAATTAGTGTGACTTGTGTGAGAAATGTCGTCATTGTGAAAGATAAGATCGTACTCACATATTATCAATTAGTGATTGACATCTTCGTCCTGTCGAAATTTTATACGGTCAGGAAATCTTCGTAGCAAAAACATATAATTTTATATAGTCTTCTCTTTAACACTCTGTGTCTAATTAATAGTTGCGCACGGCAACGTGTCACTTCTCACTCGTTTTCCTTCTTCAGTCAGTTAATTATTAATCGTGTCTTCTGTAGAAAGATATTTGTCAAAAACACCAACTATAGTCAGAGCTCAGAAGTCCTCTAGAAATTATGATCAATTTATTTCATATCGCTCGAAAATTTAATCGCAATCTCCACTGGAAAAAGCACTTGCGAAATACTTTACTAGATTATTAATTGTTCTGATCACGATTTTCCGAATAAATTGTTGTACACTATTTGCTTATGGCTTGTTTCGGAGCTGATGAAGAAAAGGCACCAGACTGCAATAAAAATCGCCGTCGCGTTGAAACACTGAGTCACCTGTACTGTCTTCTACCTGCTAAAATTCCAAGAGCATTATAAGCCAGAGAAAAATTTCTTTTCGGAGAGACCCTTGTGAGTTTTTCTACGTAACGGGGTTTCTCCTGCACCACACAAAAACTCGGTCAAATATTTAACTGAAAATTCATCCTCGATATCAATTGAAAACTTCGAGAGTTTACATGAATTTCTTTATGCAAGTGTAATATATTATTTAAAATACGTGGAATTTTTATTTGCAAGTCGATTTTGTTGAAATCCACTATATTTAAATTGAAGATTTGAATACAGTTTATAGAACTGCTGTCATTTCTACCTTTGAAGCAGTAATCCAATTCTAGTGAAACATTAGTTGCACAAATAGCCACTGTTAACAATTATCTTTCAACAATTAGCATAGTACATTTTAAGTATCCATATTTTTCATGTAATCTTCAAAGTGTTGTTTGTACCGTTTTATTCGAGTGTTCCATCAGTTCTATACGAACTATTTATTGTCCGTCAGCGCATACTCGTCACAAAACTAGCTTCGAAATGACACCTTCCTCACAATATCAAGTCATACTGTCACTGCCGTTTCATCTCTAAATCGACAATAGTCGCAATTTTCAAAATAAAGTTTAATAATTCCAAGATTAATCTGATTCAATGAGGCTTGAAATCAGGTCGTTAGTCCATCCGTTAGTCATCCAGCTGATTCCTCCGGTATTCAGGAACCACGGGCGACTCGCGATCTATCGCATTTACACTCGCGGCGTTGTTTGTGCTCCCAAGACGTGGTGCAGCCGGTGACTGCGTCTCTGAAACTGTCCTGGACAGTCACCTCTCCCGTTGGTGACGCAGGACGAGGAGAAGCCGCGGTGCGGGAGGTAGCAACGACGCTGTCGAGTGGAGTCTCTGGGTCTCTACCGGGAAGGGATGGGAGCGCGGAAAGTGAGGGGTGAGGAACACACGGGGACAGGCAGAACGAGGGAGGGACTGTTGGATCGTTAGCGAGCGAACTAGGCGGTTCTTCTGATCCGATCGCTGTGAGTTTGAGAGGCGGAGCGAATAACGCCCACGTGAGGGAACCGAGACCTCGTGTCCCAGGAGGCGGCGACCACACATCCACCGGGATCGATTTTCATAAAATCTTTTCTCACCCGCCCTTTCTCTCTTCCTTCTCGCCTCTGTCTGCGTTTCCTTCCCCGTCTTTGGCGTTCTCTCCCTTTTTCTTTCTCTTTCTCTTTCGATGCTCGGCGTCAGCGTCTCCTTTCCACCTTGTCGCGCCTATAATGTCCGACCAGATCGGACGTGGATAAGAAGGCGCGCCGGATCGTTCCTCATGGATATCTTCGGGTATCCGCACCGCCTTGAGTCTGACTTATGGACTACCTCGGTACACCGTCTGAGATTTCTTGGCTCACTCGCCCCGCGAGCTTTTTCCACACGAGTTATTCCGCACATGTGTGCATGCTTCCATCAGCCATGATCCGATATAATTTTTATTATTAGCGAGATACTTTTTAGTCTAGCTCATAGCGTCGGTTGATTTTACTCAAACAGACTAGTTATTAAAATTCAGGTTTAAAATGCACAAACATATATTATCATAAGAAATTTATTTCATTCTTATATACAAATATGTATAACGTATGTTTTTCATTTCTCAAAATATATTTCAAGTATTTTGTTTCGACATATACACACTTGTTCAAAAGTTGAGCTTAAATTTGTAGTAGCGGATAAAATTATTTAAAAAATCGCTTTAATAAAAATATGCTCCAAATTCAGTATTAAATTTGCTTGGCAGTCAAATATTTAGTGTCATAAATAATTAGAAATGTGCATAAATTATTAATTTACATTATCGAAAGCTACACAATCGTGTTTTCGAAACCTTTCACTCGAATACATAAATCTGAATCAATATAATATGTGAATGACGTTATAAATCTTTGAAACAACTCCATTATTTGTTATTTTAGTTAAAAGTGGTTATCTTTTCGTCACTGTATTATTAATATCAATGTAACGTATCAAGCCATATTGATAATAACATAACTCGGAGTACAAATCAGAGATTACTAATCAACATCGTCGTTACTCAGAGATCTTGGAGAGAAATACGATCGTGACTTACTTCGTTAATTGGAAACGCGAGGTTAATTGCTGGTCGATTAGGCCGTGATTACTCGCGTTTATCACCGTTACTTATAATAAATCAGCCGCCTGTTCGTAGATAAACGTGTGCGCGGACTTCACGGAACGCCGCGATTTTTGGTAGCTTCTTTGCTTAACTACCAACACGCAACTAGAGCTTTCGTTCTGTATTTTGTTTTAGCAGCACGTGTAATTATTCGCGAATTTCTTTGAATTGGCACAAACTTGAAGAAAAAATTTGTCGAATACAGTATACATTTGTGAGAAAATTTTACAATGATAGTAAGATAATAATATAACATTATCGAGAAGGTACACAACAGTGTAAAGAGTTTTAAGTTTTTAAGATCTTTCAAATACTCTCCAAGTTGCAATATCAACAATTATTATAATTATCTATCAACCTGATAATACTTAATTAATTTGTAAAGATAATATAAAATTATTTTGTCGACTAATTTCTAACAATAAATTAAGTTGAGTGTAATAAAAATTAACTATTATATTGTTTCCATTTTGTCTCCAGTTTACACATTGTTACATTTGCTGAAAATACATATAGAAACATTGAACGAATAATACATAGTCATTTTTTATTAATTAATCATATAAGCTAATTATTAACAAATGCTAAAAGTTATGATGTCTTGTCTAATTTTGAATATAATTAATTAATAAATATGTAAGCCAATTAAATAAGACGAAAAAATCTAATTTATTATGCATGTTCTCAACCTGAAAAGTAATTATATATTTTTTGGGGAATTTTGGAGAATAGATACATGGAATAGATACATAGAATAGATACATAGAATAGATACATAAAAATTTCTTCAAAATATTTTTTTTGTTTGGCAAACATTCAACTTAAGAAATCACAACAAGGAGTAAAATGTATTTTGTGGTATGTACAGCAAAAAAAGGATTTTTATAAGCTATAAATTGCGATTATAGTTTTTAGTAGATATGTAATTCGGAAACGAAAAGCACGCACTCATAATTAGATCGTATTACTTACCCATTGTATCACTCAGAAAACTGATTTCGCGTTGAAGACAGGTATTCTTGCATATGTGTAATATTTGTATATAATATTCATCTTTCATAAATCTAAAATTAGACAATTACCATATTGCGTTGCAAATTTTTGCTTTTTGTTGATAGATTATCCAATATAAATATAAAAATTAAGAATATTAAATAATTATAACTTGCTTATTATTATTTTTTAAGTTATTATTTTCAAAAAGAAAATATACTGTGTTATTATATGTAGAATATTGAAATAAGATTTCCATCGTCAACTATATTTTTTTACCTGTACTTTGAATTAGCTCGATACCAATTAAACGCATTTTAACATCACTAGTGCCTCTAGTAAAAAGAGCATCAAAACTGATAATGTGGCATCATGTACCTACTTCTGTGTAACATCATAAACGCATGCAAATTTCGTATGTAATATGAAAACAGATTAAAATGCTTGAAGATATCTTGTTGTGCATTAACTACGCGATTGGAAATTCAAGAAGCGCAATTGCTCTGTCATTATCGTAGGTGAGTTCCATCGAAATATGCACGGGTCGAACAAAACGAGAATGCACTCGACACATCATAACGAAGGGCTACCCTCGCTCACACTATCGCCTCTAGCATTAATCAACCGCATGTGGCGGTAGAGTTCTTGTGCAATGATAATAATCACTATATCGCACATAAATACAAGAGTTGTAAATTTCAATAATTATTATTTATTGTCAATTAAGAGCACATTGCGTACAATCTAATTTAATCGATTCTGCTCGTCTTTCCCGAATGTGGACGAAATGCCAATAAAGAACGCTTCGATCTTTCCGAATTATTATAGATTGTTAATAACATTTTATATAATTTAAAAAACTAAGATTTAGTATTGTACATTTATTGTATAATTTCCTTTTTCGACAATGCAAATTCGCAATATATGAATGGGTAATTGTGAATTCGGCCTCTTCGGTCTCATGCACGCCCTGGCGAGATAGTAAATCGCACGACTTACGACATGGCTTAATGGAAACACCCGATGGATAACGTGCTCACTGCCCTTTGTTCTAATGGAGCTGATGACGTGAGAGTGATCGCTCTACAGGTACACGTCATTTGGAAAAAGTATTTAACTTAAAGCAGGAGCATGCGTGCATTTCTCAGTATGGGGCCGTTGTAGAAAGCACGGAAATAGCGTGCCAGGTAAAAACCTTTATAAGATACTTATCATAATACCGGTAGCCCGTATCCTAAAGGGAACTGACCTTTTCTTCTCTTTTCATCTTTTTTCTCTTTCTTTCCTCTTCGCTTTGACACATTTTTCACTCTGAAGAGGATTAAAGTTTTTATAATAGTTCGCAACTAAAAGTGTGACGCTACCAAATACACTTTGCTCTTTTTCTCTTGTTTTACGGTACTACTCAACTACTTGTTAGATAATATATGTAGAGATACAGCGACACAAAGCATTTTTATCAAATAGTTTTAGTTTTAAAAGCATATCTCTATTTCGTATTGTTGAAAATGAGATATGCTGTTTTCTTCATCTTATAAGTTATCTTACAGAAAGCTGCAATAATGGATCAGAAAAGGTTTCTTTCTCTTAAAATCGTTTAGCACACTTTACGTATCTTTTCAGGAAGGGAAATAATAGTTTTTCTTTCTTCGAGAAGTGATGTATGACCTCTCGAGGGACACAAAATACCGACGGAAAGGTTACCTTTTTGTTGTCTCTAACGGAGCTGTTTAGTGCCAGTGCTGGAAATATTTGTGTTTTATCTTTGACACGATCTCAGCTCCCAATTACGAGACGCCAGTACCATTATATTTTCATATTTCCGTAGATTGCTTATCTTATTGTTAGTCAGAAGCATGTCACTTTAGAGATTAAAATACCAACGATACTCTAGATAATATAAGAAAAGAATAAAACAGGTGATTCACACTCAAAGTTGAGATGTCTAGAGGTGCATTTTTCGGTCGCAGACGAGGAATGCAAATGGAGCCAAAGTAAGAGAATGTGTCTTTGGGAAAGAGAAAGAAAGAGAGAAACGCGACGAGTTTATCAAGGTTTAGTCTGAGTCGTAGAATGAATGGCACTTTAACCCCTTCAATCGTAAATTTCTTTTTCTACAATGTAAAAATTATGTAGAATATTTAAAGCCGAATAGAAACTTTTATTTAAGCCTGAGATAATCCTCATTCTCTTGTATAGTTTCTTGTTTACAACATTTAATGTTTCATGTTGCTGAAACTGTTAAATTGACGCTAATAATGATCTCGCTAATTACTATTGTATTTTATAAAATGAAATCTATTTAACCATTTCTATTAATGACTCAATGATACAAATGTCATATGACTTTTACTTGAAACGTCAAAATTTACTTTTTAAATCTATTTAATTTAAATCTTTTATAGGAAGTAAAATACTATAATTATTTTTACTTTCTTAAGATATTAAATTTGCTTTTCTCCATCCATCGCAGTAGTTTATTGCTAAAATTACAGTTGATATCTCGATATTTTCTCAAGGAATCCTTTGGAAGTTCCGCATCGGGGAGTAAATCGCTGAGGGCATTGTGGTGTAGAGATTTACCGCATGACTGGATATTATTAGGCATTACTTGGCATTTTTTAAATAGT